TAAAGAATAAAACAGTTGATGTTTTAGTGCCCAAACATCTGCAGTAGTTCCTCTGATCTGCAGCCCTCACTGCCTTTCTGACTTTCTCTCTTACTATGCTCTTTGTAGTTCACTCTGCCCTACTTACACTGGCCTCCTTGCCGTTCTGCTGCTGCTTTCCTGCCGTGGGCTTCTGCTGTGATGTTACATCTGCCTGCAGTGCTCTTCCCCTGACTGTCTGCTTGGCTAATTTTCTTGCCTCTTCAAGTCTTGCTCAAGTGTCCCCTTCTCAATGAGTCTAATCTTGACCTTATTTAATACTAAAATCTGCTCTGAACTTCTCTATTACCTACTCCTGCCTACTTTGTTCTATTTTTTCTTTTTGTAAAATAGCATGTGTTCTTTACTAATATACTAAATCATTTACTTTTTATTATCTTTATTGTTTATGGTCACACTTTCCTCATGATTGGCACAGAAGAGACAGTCAGTAAATATAAGTTGAAACAATGAATAAACGAATGATGCCCTGTAGTCTAGGGATGCCTCTGATCTCACATCATTTTGCTGTTACAGCCTGCCAAAAAGCTAGATGAAAGCGTTTATACAGATTATTGCCGTCTAAGTAAACACGTAAAAAATAATTGTAAAGTGTAGGAAGAGCATTTGAAAAGAATGAGACCCAGCTATTCCTTCATCACATATATCAGGCAGTTGCTTGATTTTGTTGATTCTCTGACAAACCTTAGATCCTTTTGTTTAATGTGTGAGTAGAAGGTGCAAACATACCAACAAATGATTGCACTGGAAACATGGAGGTGGGGCTTGGAAAACCAGTGTGTATAGAGAGTGTAGCGAAAGTTTTATATTATAGTTGTCTTCTTTTCATTTTATTTCACTTTAGTCAAGACTGAGCTGTATAAAATCAGCTATGATAATATTGTACAGCAAACTTCTCTTGCCCCCTTTTCCTTTACTTAAATCTTCTTGTGATGGTCTACATTTTTTTTACAGTTAACATTTGATTTCAATCCTTCACATTATTCCTGACTACATTACTGTATACTAATCTTTCTGAGGCATGGTGATGGGGGAGAGCGAGGCCTATAAAGTTCAGTTATGCACTCAAGATAAATTCTTTTTTTTTTTTTTTTTTTTTGAGATGGAGTCTCTCTGTCTCAGGATCTTGCTATCTTGGTTCACTGCAGCCTCTGCCTCCTGGTTTCCAGTGATTCTCCTGTCTCATCCTCATGAGTAGCTGGGATTACAGGTGTGTGTCAAGGCAGGCAGATCACGAGGTCAGGAGATCAAGACCATCCTGGCCAACATGGAGAAACCCTGTCTCTACGAAAATACAAAAAATTAGATGGGCGTAGTGGTGCATGCCTGTAGTCCCAGCTACTCGGGAGGCTGAGACAGGGGAATCACTTGAACCGGGGAGGCAGAGATTGCGGTGAGCCAACATTGCGCCACTGCACTCCAGCCTGGTGACAGAGTGAGACTCCATCTCACACACACACACACACACACAAAAACCCAAAAAACACCCCATGCCAACTTATGTAAAAGAATTATAGTTTTACTAAGAGGAGCCTGAGCTCTGGAGTGGGTAGTGAGGGGTCGTCGGGGGAGGATGGTTATGTGTGATTGTAGGGAGAAGTAGGTGCCAAACATTTTCTCTTGAATATTTGTGAGGTAATGGCCACCTTTAGGCAAATTTTGGAAATGAGTAAATTTTTCCACTGGCCTCTCTGCGCATTTCTCTGATCTTCTATCATCCCTCTCCTTTGCTGCCGGGGCATGATGAAAACACAACGTGGTTCATGCTGTAATAGAGATGTGCACAGGGTGTCAGATGGCGAGCAGTGAGCTGGTTCATACTAATGTGTGACTGAATGTGTGCACCCCATCACCTCTCAAGAGTTAACTGCATTTAGAAATGAAATGTGTGTGAATTAAAAATTGATGTAAATTGATATAAGTTCAGTTTCAAGCAGGGAGTAAAGTGGAATGAAGAAAATTGAGGGATTATAGACAAAGATAGTTTGGGGGGAAGGGAAGCATCCACGTCAGTAGGCGTCTTGAGGTCTTTCTCTGGAGACATCTATCACCACTGTCAAGAGATTTGTTCTTCTCCCTTTGATTCTGAAAACTGGCATTTCGTTCTATAGTCTCTCTTCAAACTGTACTTTTCTCTCTCCAAACCAAACACTTTATTTATAAAGTGTGCTTTTTACTTTATAAAACCATCTCTTTTGGGTAAAAGTTTAAAAGTGGCAGGTTTCAAGTCAGAGCGTCTAGTGGCATAGTGAGCTTCTTATCATTTCCATTCTTCCAAGCTCAGTATATTGGTGAAATGAAGGTTGTTGAAGAAAGTGTTCTTGAATTGTTTGGGAGGTACCCCCTAACTCTTAAGATTTTATAGATTATAAAATGCAAATGCCAGTCATGGGCGGTGGCTGACTCCTGTAATCCCAGCACTCTGGGAGACCGAGGTAGGCGGATCACCTGAGGTCGGGAGTTTGAGACCAACCTGACTAACATGGAGAAACCATGTCTCTCCTAAAAATACAAAATTAGCCAGGTGTGGTGGCGCATGCCTGTAATCCCAGCTACTCAGAAGGCAGAAGCAGGAGAATTGCTTGAACCCGGGAGGCAGGGGTTGTGGTGAGCTGAGATCACGCCATTGCACTCCAGCCTGGGTAACAAGAACAAAACTCCATCTCAAAAAACAAAGTAAATAAAATGCAAATGCCTTGGAATGTAATACTTACAACCTAGTAGGATTTTTGTTTTGGATTTGCATTGTGGTGTTACTGTACCTACAATCTGTCAGACTTTGACTTTGCTTCAATTTCATTTGCAAAATTATACAGTTTTCTGCCTATGATAGCCCTTATTTCCAATCAGTTGGGAATACTGACCAGGACATACAGAAGAGCAGGAAGATTTTTAAAATAAGAAATAGCATTTATTTAAAGACTAATAATTATATGAAGCCAAGTTATTTAAGGACTTAGTTTTTAAAGTAATTTTTACCATGGAAAAATGAACTTTTGAAAACCTTAATTTGTGTTAAAGACATGAACACAGACTTAGAAGCTACTTTGGCTAAATTAGGTTGTCTTTTTATCTCTTGGCTAAAAAGCACTCCTTTTAGAAAGATGCTTCTAGGTTGAAAAATTCTTCTAGAAGGATTTACATATGATATGCATAATTTTTGCTCTCTTTAATTTTTGATTTTTCTTACTTTCAATTTCTGGTGGTCATATAGCTTTGGAAACCAATCGTGAATTTCACAGTGAAAGGGACATGTTTTTAAACACTGCAAAGGTTTACCTAGATTTTATATTTGTTCACAACACTCTCCTCTACTTTTGTCCTTGAGATGAAAGAACAAAGCAATGGCAGCAATCTTAACTTGATTTTTATGTCATAGAAGGGTAACAAGGAAATCCTTTGTGAGCACTTATTTGATAGAAGTCTAAGGATATACACTGAAGGATATAGCCTATTGCGTAGATTGGCTCTGGGCTGTGCAGAAAGGTCACCACGGGAAAAGGCTATCTGTCAACTTAGATTTGCCTGTGTTAGAAGGAATCCAAGTGGTAGGTGAAATGATTGAAAAACTAAAATCCAAACCAAAACATTTCAGTTCTAGAAATGCATTTGAAAGAAACCATTTGGCAATAGTGTTTGGAGCCTTTCTTGAAGCTCCTTTCTTGAAGCATGTCTCCTACATTGCAGATGAATTGCTGAGAAAAGAGACCATGTTTCTACTTTTAGAAGGAAAATAAAATCAATGCAAAGGAAAGAGAAGCAAAGCAGAAAAGGGCTAAATTGTGGGGCTTTGTGACTTTATATGTTGATGTATCATTTGCTAATAACAGTAATTTGAAACTTTCATTTGAAAAGAAATTCAAGTAATATATTTTCACTTAATAGAATTTGAATAATTATTTTTTCAAGTAAAGAAATTGTAGCCACCTTGTAAGTGGCTTATGATAGAGTTAAGCACAGACTAGGAACAAGGACATGCTTGGCAGGCTTGAAGGGGCAGATGGGGCCCTTGGCAGGTCATTTGGGTTATTTTCATTAGGAGAAAGAGAACTATCTAGGAATGTGCTAGATTTCAGGAAGTGTGCCCTCTCTTTGCAATCAACGATGCCACTGGGTTTCATATAAATTCTTAACACTTTACTGTAGTTTTCAGTAGATGAATAAATAATATGTTATAGCTATTTGAAAACATGGCTAGAGTTTTTGAATGTTAATCCAAATATGATATGCCACATATAATCATTTGATATATATGTATATAGTTAGGCAAAAATCTCACTGAATTGATTTTTAAGGATAATATTAATGCCTTAAAGAATGGCTTGCATTTTTTTCTTCTTCTTTTGTCTTGCCCAAATATCAAATGCCTTCTCCAGGGCTTCTTTTAACAGCAACTGTGCAATTTATATTAATTTCTTTCTGGTCCAAGAAGGTAGATTGCCCTTAACCGTCTCCAATCAAAACCCTCAAATAAACAATCTTCAAATCAAGTAAAGATGTATCTTTACTTGTTCCCATGTCTTTCAAAGTTTTACTTCTTCCTTGTCTAAGTCATCATTAACAAGAAGAATCAAAATATGGGCATAGGCTGCCTCAATGCTGTGATTTCACAGAAGTCAAAGGCCTTGGATGCTGTAAGATATGTCTCATCATTCTGATCACTTAAGACTACTGATCAAATGCAAACCCACCTCGGATGAGTTAGCAATTTAGTCATGAACATACTGGTGCAGATTAATTTGTTAAAGGACCTAAGCCCAGACAGCATGACCTCAGAGAACAGTCGGTGAATATCTTCTTTCTCTGAAGGTAGATTTTGTACCCTGGTCCTCTGAGGGCTACAACTGATATCAAGAAGAGGTGCTGAATACACGTTTTACCTACTCCATGATTTTCATGAGTGCTCTTCTTTAGAAAACATTTTTTTTTATTAATAAGCATCTTTTTGTGTTTGTACACAGGCAGCATGTCAGCTGAAACACCAGTCACTCTGAATATTGATCCCCAGGATCTGCAGGTCCAAACATTCACCGTAGAGAAGCTGCTGGAGCCTCTTATAATCCAGGTATTAATACCATGGAAATTATGACATATAGTAACTGCAGAAGAATTAAAAATGTGGGAAAAATGAATGAGGAAATAAAAGATTTGATTTTTATATATGAATATGTCATCTAAAATTATCCTTTATTTAAAGAGTTGTTAAGATGTGAAAAAGTGTGTATTTGGTAATAATAAAATTCTTAAAGTTTTTCCCCACATTATCTTTTAGCACTAATAGCAGTTGCGCGCGCGCGCGCGCACACACACACACACACACACACACACACACACACACAATTTTCAGAGTACCTTTATATAAATTATTTCTTTGATAATCATGAAAACTGAATGAGGCAGGTAGGATGGTTAAAACCGTCTTTATTATATAGATGACGAAACTGAGACCTAGAGAATTTCACTAACTTGCCTCAGGAACATGGCATCTTATTTGTCAAATAGGAAAGTATTTTTAAAATGTGAAAATGTATGAGCCAAGCAGCTATTTATAGGAATTCTGTGACAAAGTCTTTCATAAGGTGAAAAATCCTTTGATGATATACATAATGATTCTGACTTTTTTTTATTATGTAAGTCCAGATTTTATGTATTGGACTTTTTAAAGGCAGAGCTTAAATAAATTTATGCAGTGGTATAGATTTAAATTTTTGTCCTTAACCCACAATTTATGAGGGAACTTCCCTTTAGGCCGACCTTACATTATGCCTCCTAACATAAGATGCGAGTCCCTTTTTCCAGGGACTCAAAGAACCCGAAGGTTACTTGGGTGAATAACTATGCTGATCTTTCCTCAGATCATGTAAATATGTTCTGCTTATCTTTTTTGTGAGATGGATGTGGGGAGGGGAGTAGCTATGAGAATAGACTTTGTACATATTTTTACTTAGTACAAGTCGATAATCTGCTATGGGAAAGACAATTCAAAACATGTGCCTCCCTGATGATATCTTAATAGTTAACTTTGGCAGTCTTAACAACACTAATGTCTGGTGTGAAATTTATACTAGATAACTGTGGAGACTTCATTAAAGTCCGTCTTAGCCACCCACTAAACAGTTTTATGTTAAAAAGAAAAAAGGCTGGGTGCAATGGCACATGCCTATAATCCCAGCACTTTCAGAAGGCTGAGGCAGGAGGATCGCTTGAGCCCATGAGTTCAAGACCAGCCTGGGCAACACAGCGAGACCTTGTCTAAAAAAAAGAAAAAAAAAAAGAAAAAAAACTCATTTGTTTTTCTGAGTAAGTTCACAAAAAAATTGGAATGCCAAAAAAGTTACAAAAAATAGAATAAAAACACTCATAATTTTCTGAAGAGATAAACATTAATATTTTGGTGCATTTACTTCTAGCACATCAAAATTATGGGTGATTTTTATCATCTTTGTACTTTGTAATATTAAAAAATATATCTTCTTTATATATATCCTTACATGTATATATGTTATACATACATGAAGAATATATATATATATATATATACACACACACACACACATATATGTGTGTGTGTGTAACAAGTGGAGATAGTCCTATATATATAGGCTTTAATTCCATTTTTCCATTTAAAATGATATTTTAATAATTTCCCTATTTTTTTGTAAGTATGATTTAATAAAACTGCTATTTACTTATACATTATATGGCTGCACTATAATTTTTTAAAGTAGCCTCGCATTTTTGGACATTTGTGTGTTTCTATTTTTTTCCTATTATAAATATTACTGTGCTGAACATCATTGTACGTACATTTTTGTCATGTACAATTTATATTATTTCACTAGAATTAGTTACAAATGTAAAAGTTAATGGCCAAGATATGAGTATTTTTATACTTTTTCATACATATCACTAATTTTTTGGGGACAGTTTTAAATGAGTTCTCACAAGTCATTTAAGGTTTTGTTTCTATGCAATTATAAGGAATGGGAATAGGGAAATGACCTTCATTTTGGAGATGGCTGGTGAAAACAAGTACATTAATGCTAGTGTATACCCTTATTTGCTCTATAACAATGGAAAATTAGAGTTGGTCACTTAAAACTTGCTAATCACAAAGGTTGCTGAAATATTGCTTAAAAACAGAGAGAGTATCACAGGGAAACTATTTTTTATATTCCAACCGAAACTAATAGATATTTTTCTTTAGTCAAGTACATTGCTAAAGAAGTTAATATAAAGTATTCTAAGTAAATTTACATTAAAGGGTAATGCTAGTCCAGTGTGTGTGTGTGTTTGTGTGTCTGTGTGTGTGTTTTATGGCATGTTCTAAACTGATTATAACCATCTATAAACATTTATTGAGCCCACCTATAAAATTAGAAAGATGAAAATGACCTGAATAATCTTGTTTGATTGGAAAGAAATGTGTCTCTTTAAAAAAGTGTGATTATGTTAATTTTAGAGGACTTTTGATGTTCCCGGATTCAAACTTTTCATGACCCACAAGTAGGGAAGACATTGAAAGGGAACTCATTACCTTTTACATACCAGACAGTTCTCAGTTACATGTAAATATAATTGCTAATTTTGTCTTCCTTAAGATTGTTGTCAATGTTTTCGAAATATTCACTGATTTCTTAAAAGTGCTTTGGTATACAACATCAATGTCTCAGTTACAAAAAATGATTTCGAGGTCTTAGCAATACTCAAGTCATATTAAATTCAAATAATAATTTATATACTATCAACTATGTACAATAACTATCTCATAAAGCAGAATTCCATTTAACAAAATTATTTGTATACACTCTTGATTTTCATTATAATGGGATTCTCCTTATGAAAAACCAGTACATTTCAAAGTCAAAGAGTTATATTTTAAAATAACTGATCTTTTGGATGTGATGTTCAGCCTTCTTGTACCTGTCACTTTGATCATGTATTACCCACCAACACAAAATATCTCGTTAAATTATATTAAAGGTATTTCTTTCTAGGATAACATCATGTTAAGTGTCTCATCACATTCTTGTTTGTTTTTCGAAGAGTGTTTATTTTTATTTTTTTAGATAAGAATAAGCTATTTATTTGAAAAGACTAAGTAGACCTCAATATTTTTTTGTTATCAACTTTTATTTTAAATTCAGGAGTACATGTGCAGGATGTGCAGGTTTGTTACTTAGGTAAACATGTGCCATGGTGGTTTGTTGCACAGATCATTTCATCACCTAGGTATTAAGCCCAGCATCCATTAGCTATTCTTCCTGATGCTCTCCCTCCTTCCATGGCCACTGACAGGCCTCAGTGTGTTCTCTCCATGAGTCTGTGTGTTCTCATCATTCAGCTCTCACTTATAAGTCAGAACATGTGGTGTTTGGTTTTCTGTTCCTGCATTAGTTTGCTGAGGATAATGACTTCCAACTCCATCCCTGTCCCTGCAAAGGACATGATCTTGTTCCCCCTTTTTTTTTTTTTTGAGACAGAGTCTTGCTCTGTCGCCAGGTGCCAGGCTGGAGTGCAGTGGTGCGATCTTGGCTCACTGCAGCCTCTGCCTCCCAGGTTCAAGCTATTCCTCTTCCCCAGCCTCCCGAGTAGCTGGGACTACAGGCGTGCGCCATCACATCCAGCTAATTTTTGTATTTTTTTTTAGTAGAGATGGGGTTTCACCATGTTGGCCAGGATGGTCTCGATCTCTTGACCTCGTGATCTGCCCACCTCGGCCTTCCAAAGTGCTGGGATTACAGGCATGAGCCACTATGCCCGTCGGATCTTGTTCCTTTTTATGACTGCATAGTATTCCATGGTATATTTGTACCACATTTTCTTTATCCAGTCTGTCACCGATGGACGTTTAGGTTGATTCCATGCTTTTGCTATTGTGAATAGTGCTGCAACGAACATACACGTGCATGTATCTTTATAATAGAATGATATATATTACTTTGGGTACATCCCAGTAATGGGATTGCTGAGTCAAATGGTATTTCTGCATCTAGGTCTTTGAGGAATCACCACGCTGTCTTCCACAATGGTTGAACTAATGTACAAACCCACCAACAATGGAAAAGCATTCCTTTTTCTCTGCAACCTTGTCAGCATCTGTTGTTTTTTTGGCTTTTTAATAATAGCCGTTCTGATCACATGAGATGGTATCTCACTGTCATTTTGATTTGCATTTCTCCGGTGATTACTGATGTTGAACTTTTTTAATGCTTATTGACCAAATGTGTGTCTTCTTTTGAGAAGTGTCTTTTTGTGTCTTTTGCCCACTTTTTAATGGTTTGTTTTTTCTTGTAAATTTGTTTGATTCCTTGTAGACTCTGGATATTAGACCTTTGTCAGATGGATAGATTGCAAAAATTTTCTTTGATTCTGTAGTTTGTCTGTTCACTCTGATAATAGTTACTTTTGCTGTGCAGAAGTTCTTTAGTTTAATTAGATCTCATTTGTCTATTTTTGCTTTTGTTGAAATTGGTTTTGGCATTTTCCTTGTGAAATTTTGCCTGTGCCTATGTCCTGAATGGTATCACCTCAGTTTTCTTCTAGGGTTTTTATAGTTTTGGGTTTTACATTTAAATCTTTAATCCATGTTGGGTTAATTTTTATATATGGTGTAAGGAAGGGGTCCAGTTTCAGTTTTCTGCATGTGGCTAGCCAGTTCTCCTAGCACCATTTATTAAGTATGAAATCTTTCCACCATTGCTTGTTTTTGTCAGGTTTGTCAGAGATCAGATGGCTGTAGGTTTGTGGTCTTATTTCCGAGTTCTCAATTCTGTTCCATTGGTCTATGTGTCTGTTTTTATACAAGTAGTATGCTGTTTTGGTTACTGTAGCTCTGTAGTATAGTTTGAATTTGGGTAGTGTGATGCCTCCAGCTTTGTTCTTTTTTGCTTAGAATTGTTTTGGCTATTTGGGCTGTTTTGGGTTCCATATAAATTTTAAAATAGTTTTTTTCCCCTAATTCTGTGAAGAATTCCAGTGGTAGTTTAATAGGAATAACACTGAACCTACAAATTACTTTGGGCATTATGGCCATTTTAATAATACTGATTCTTCCAATCCATGAGAATGGAATGTTTCTCCATTTGTTTGTGTCCTTTCTGATTTCTTTGAGCAGTGGTTTGTAGTTCTCCTTAAAGAGTGCTTTCACTTCCCTTGTTAGCTGTGTTCTTAGGTCTTTTATTCTTTTTGTAGCAATCATAATTGAGAGTTCATTCATGATTTGGCTCTCTGCTTGCCTGTTGTTGGTGTGTAGGTAATGCTAGCAATTTTTGCACAGTGATTTTGTATCCTGAGACTTTCTTGAAGTTGCTTATCAGCTTAAGAAGATTTTGGGCTAAGACAATGGGCTTTTTCTAGATATAGGATCATGTCATCTGCAAACAAAGATGATTTGACTTTCTCTCTTCCTTTTTGAATGCTCTTTATTTCTTTCTCTTGGCCTTATTGTCCTGGCCAGAACTTCCAATACTATGTTGAATGGGAATGGTGAGAGAGGGCATCCTTATCTTGTGTCTTTTCAAGGGGAGTGCTTCCACCGTTTGCCCATTTAGTATGATATTGGCTATGTGTTTGTAATAGATGTTTCTTATTTTTTTGAGATATGTTTCTTCAATACCTAGTTTATTGATAGTTGTTAACATGAAGGGATGTTTAATTTTATTGAAGGCCTTTTCCACATCTATTGAGATAATCATGTAGTTTTGGTCTTTAGTTCTGTTTATGTGATGAATCACATTTGTTGATTTGCATATGTTGAACCAACCTTGTATCCCAGAGATGAAGACAACTTGGTCATGGTGGATAATTTTTTTTCTGTGCTATTGGATTCAGTTTGCCAGTATTTTATTGAAGATATTTGCATTGACGTTCATTAATGATATTGGCCTGAAGATTTATTTATTTTTGTTGTAACTCTGCCAGATTTTGGTATCAGGATGATGCTGGCTTCATAGAATGAATGAAAGAGGAGTCCCTTCTTTTTAACTTTTTGGAATAGTTTCAGTAGAAATGATACCAGCTCTTCTTTGTATCTTTGGTAGAATTCAGCTATAAATCCTCTGATCCTGGGCTTTTTTTGGTTGGTAGGCTATTTATTGCTGCCTCAATTTCAAAACTCTTTATTGGTCTATTCAGGCAGGCATTCAGTTTTTTCCTGGTTCAGTCTTGGGAATGTGTATGTGTCCAGGAATTTATCTGTTTCTTCTAGATTTTCTAGTTTATGTGCATAGAGGTATTTATAGTATTCTCTGATGGTTGTTTGTATGGTGATATCCAGCTTATCATTTCTAATTGTGTTTATTTGATTTTTCTCTCTTTTCTTCTTTATTAGTCTAGCTAGTGATCTATTTTATTAACTTTTTCAAAAAACACCTCCTGGATTCATTGAGTTTTTGAAGTGTTTTTTGTGTCTCTATCTCCTTCAGTTAAACTCTGATTTTGGTTATTTCTTGTCTTCTGCTAGCTTTCAGGTTTGTTTGCTCTTGGTTCTCTAGTTCGTTTAGTTGAGATATTAGTTTGTTAACTTGAGATCTTTCAAGCTTTTTGATGTGGGCATTTAGTGCTATAAATTTCCTTCCTAATGCTACTTTAGCTGTGTCCCAGAGATTCTGGTAAGTGGTCTTTTTGTTCCCATTAGTTTCAAAGAATTCTTGATTTTTGCCTTAATTTCATTATTTACCCAAGAATCATTCAGAAGCAAGTTGGTCAATTTCCATACAGTTGTGTGGTTTTGAGTGAATTTCTTAATCTTGAGTTCTAATTTGTTTGTGCTGGATCTGAGAGACTGTATTATTTCAGTTCCTTTGCTTTTGCAGAGGGGTATTTTACTTCTGATTATGTAATCAATTTTGGAGTACATACCATGTGATGAATGAGAATATATATTCTGTTGTTTTTGGGTGGAGAGTTCTGTAGATATCTATTAGGTCTACTTGATCCAGAGCTGAGTTCAGGTCCTGAATATCTTTGTTAATTTTCTATCTTGAGGATCTGTCTAACATTGTCAGTGGGGTGTTTAAATTTTCCAATCTAAGCCTCTTTGTAGGTTTCTAAGAACTTGCTTTATGTATCTGGGTGCTTCTGGATTGGGTACATGCATATAAGTTAGCTATTCTTTTTGATTGGAATCCTTTACATTATGTAATGCCCTTCTTTGTCTTTTTTGACCTTTGTATTTTAAAGTCTATTTTGTCAGAAAATAGGATTGCAACCTCTGGTTTTCTTTTCTGTTTTCCATTTGCTTGGTAAATTTCCCAGTGTCCCTTTAAGTTGAGCCTATGTGTGTCTTTGCATATGAGATAGGTCTCTTGAAGACAGCACTCTGATGGGTCTTGCCTCTTTATCCAGCTTGTCATTCTGTGTTTTTAAATTGGAACATTTACCTCACTTACATTTAAGTTTAATGTTATGTATGAATTTGATCCTGTCATCATGATGCTAGCTGGTTATTTTGCAGACTTGTTTATGTGGTTGCTTCATAGTGTCACTGGTCTGTGTACTTCAGTGTGTTTTTTCGTGGCTGATAATGCTTTTTCTTTTCCATATTTAGTGCTTCCTTTAGGAGCACTTACAAGGCAGGCCTGATGGTGACCAATTCCCTCAGCATTTGCCTGACTGAAAAGGATTTTATTTCTCCTTTGTGTATGAAGCTTAGTTTGGCCAGATATGAAATTCTGGGTTGGAAACTCTTTTATCTTTTTTTATTATACTTTAAGTTCTGGGGTACATGTACAGATCTTACAGGATTGTTACATAGGTATACACACGCCATGGTGGTTTGCTCGCTCCATCCCCCGTCACCTACATTAGGTATTTTTCCTAATATAATCTCCCCACTGCCTGCTATTCCTCCCTTAGCCTCCCACCCCACAACAGACCCCAGTGTGTTCTCACTGATGTTCTCCTCCCTGTGTTCATGTGTTCTCATTGTTCAGCACCCACTTATGAGTGAGAACATGCAGTGTTTGGTTTTCTGTTCTTTTATCAGTTTACTGAGAATGATGGTTTCCAGATTCATCCATATCCCTGCAAAGGACATGAACTCATCCTTTTTTATGGCTGCATGGTATTCCATGGTATATATGTGCCACATTTTCTTTATCCAGTCTATCATTGATGGGCATTTCGGTTGGTTCCAAGTCTTTGCTATTGTGAACAGTGCTGCAATGAACATACATGTGCATGTGTCTTTATGGTAGAATGATTTATAATCCTTTGTGTATATAACCCAGTAACGGGATTGCTAGATCAAATGGTATTTCTATTTCTAGATCCTTGATGAATCATCACACTCTCTTCCACAATGGTTGAGCTAATTTACACTCCCAACAGTGTAAAAGAATTCCTGTCTCTCCACATCCTCTCCAACATCTGTTGTCTCCAGATTTTTTAACGATCGCCATTCTAACTGGCGTGAGATGGTATCTCAATGTGGTTTTGATTTGCATTTCTCTAATGACCAGTGATGATGAGCATTTTTTCATATGTTTGTTGGCTGCATAAATGTCTTCTTTTGAAAAGTGTCTGTTCATATCCTTCACCCACTTTATATGGGGTTGTTTGTTTTTTTCTTATAAATTTGTTTTAGTTCTTTGTAGATTCTGGATATTGGCTCTTTGTCAGATGGGTAGCTTGCAAAAATTTTTTCCCACTCTGTTGGTTGCTGGTTCACTCTAATGATAGTTTCTTTTGCTGTGCAGAAGCTCTTAAGTTTAGTTAGATCCCATTTGTCTATTTTGGCTTTTGTTACCATTGCTTTGGTGTTTTAGTCATGAAGTCCTTGCTTATGGCTGTGTCTGGTATGGTATTGCCTTGGTTTTCTTCTAGAGTTTCTATGGTGTTAGTACTCATGTTTAAATCTTTAATCCATCTAGAGTTAGTTTTTGTATAAGGTCTCAGGAAGGGGTCCAGTTTTAGCTTTCTGCACATGGCTAGCCAGTTTTCCCAACTCCATTTATTAAACAGGGAATCCTTTTCCCATTGCTTGTTTTTGTCAGGTTTGTCAAAGATCAGAAGGTTGTAGATGTATGGCATTACTTCCGAGGCCTCTGTTCTGTTCCATTGGTCTATATCTCTGTTTTGGTACTAGTACCATGCTGTTTTGGTTACTGTAGCCTTGTAGTAAAATTTGAAGTCAGGTAGTTGATGCCTCCAGCTTTGTTTTTTGTTTTTTTTTTTTTAACTTAGGATTTTCTTGGCTATGTGGGCTCTTTTTTCGTTCCATATGAAGTTTAAGGTGTTTTTTCCACTTCTGTGAAGAAGGTCAGTGGTACCTTGATGGGGACAGCATTGAATCTGTAAATTACTTGGGGCAGTATGGCCATTTTTACAGTATTTATTATTCCTAACCATGAGCATGGGATGTTTTTCCATCTGTTTTTGTCCTCTTTTATTTCCTTGAGCAGCGGTCTGTAGTTCTCCTTGAAGAGGTCCTTCATGTCCTTTGTTAGTTGTATTCCTAGGTATTTTATTCTCTTTGTAGCAATTGTGAATGGGAGTTCATTCATGATTTGGCTCTCTGTTTGTCTGTTATTGGTGTATAGGAATGCTTGTGATTTTTGCACATTAATTTTGTATCCTGAGACTTTGCTGAAGTTGCTTATCATCTTAAGGAGATTTTGGGCTGAGATGATGGGGTCTTCTAAATATACAATCATGTCATCTGCAAATAGAGACAATTTGACTTTCTCTTTTCCTAATTGGAAACCATTTATTTCTTTTTCTTGCCTAATTGCTCTGGCTAGAACTTCCAATGCTATGCCGAATAGGAATGGTGAGAGAGGGCACCCTTGTCTAGTGCCAGTTTTCAAAGTGAATGCTTCCAATTTTTGCTCATTCAGTATGATATTGGCTGTGGGTTTGTCATAAATAGCTTTTATTATTTTGAGATATGTTCCATTGATACCTAGTGTGTTGAGAATTTTTAGCATAAAGGGCTGTTGAATTTTGTCAAAGGTCTTCTCTGCATCTATTGAGATGATCATGTGGTTCTTGTCTTTGGTTCTGTTTATGTGATGGATTATGTTTATAGACTTGTGGATGTTGAACTAGCCTTGCATCCCTAGGATGAAGCCTACATGATTGTGATGGATAAGCTTTTTGATGTGCTATTGCATTTGGTTTGCCAGTATTTTATTGAAGATTTTTGCATCGATGTTCTTCATGGATATTGGCTGAAATTTTCTTTTTTAGTTGTGTCTCTGCCAGGTTTTGGTATCAGGATGATACTGGTCTCATAAAATGAGTTAGGGAGGATTCCCTCTTTTTGTATTGTTTGGAATGGTTCCAGAAGGAATGGTACCAGCTCCTCTTTGTATGTCTGGTAGAATTCGGCTGTGAACCAATCTGGATCTGGAGTTTTTTGGTTGGTAGGCTATTAATTGCTGCCTCAACTTCTGACCTTGTTACTGGTGTATTCAGGGATTTACCTTCTTCTTGGTTTAGTCTTGGGAGGGTATAAGTATCCAGGAATTTATCCATTTCTTCTAGATTTCTGGTTTATGTGTATAGAGTTGTTTGTAGTAATCTCTGATGGTAGTTTGTATTTCTTGGAATTGGTGGTGATATCTCCTTTATCATTTTTTATTACATCTACTTAATTCTTCTCTCTTTCATTTTTTATTAATCTGGCTACTGGTCTATCTGTTTTGTTGATCTTTTCAGAAAACCAGCTCCTGGATTTATTGATTTTTTAAAGGTTTTTTTTGTGTTTCTATCTATTTCAGTTCTGCTCTGATCTTAGTTATTTCTTGTCTTCTGCCAGCTTTTGAATTTGTCTGATCTCGCTTCTCTAGCTCTTTTAATTGTGATGATAGGGTGTCAATTTTAGATCTTTCCTAGCTTCTCATGTGGGCACTTAGTGCTATAAATTTCCCTCTAGACACTGCTTTAAATGTTTCCCAGAGATTCTGGTACATTGTGTCTTCGTTCTTATTGGTGTTGAAGAACATCTTTATTTCTGCCTTTATTTCATTATTTATCCAGTAGTCATTCAGCAGCACATTGTTCAGTTTCCATGTAGTTGTGTGGTTTTGAGTGAGTTTCTAAATCCTGAGTTCTAATTTGATTATACTGTGGTCTGAGAGACTGTTTGTTATGATTTCTGTTCTTTTGCATTTTCAGAGGAGTGATTTACTTCCAATTATGTGGTCAATTTTAGAGTAAATGTGATGTGGTGCTGAGAAGAATGTATATTCTGTGGATTTGTGGTGGAGAGTTCTGTATGTGTCTACTGGGTCTGTTTGGTCCAGATCTGAGTTCAAGTCCTAGATATGCTTGTTAATTTTCTGTCTTGTTGATCTGTCTAATATTGACAGTGTGGTCTTAAAGTCTCTAACTGTTATTGTGTGGGAGTCTAAGTCTCTTTGTAGGTTGTTAAGAACTTGGTTATTTATCTGGGTGCTCCTGTATTGGGTGCATATATATTTAGGATAGTTAGCTCTTCTTGTTGCATTGATCGCTTTACCATTATATAATGCCCTTCTTTGTCTCTTTTGATCTTTGTTGGTTTAAAGTTCATTTTATCAGAGACTAGGATTGCAACCCCTGTTTTTTTTGTTCTCCACTTGCTTGGTAAATCTTCCTCCATCACTTTATTTTGAGTCTATATGTGTCTTTGTATATGAGATGGGTCTCCTGAATACAGCACACATGACTTTTTATCCAATTTGCCAGTCTGTGTCTTTTGATTGGGGCATTTAGTCCATTTACATTTAAGGTTAATATTGTTATGTGTGGATTTGATCCTGTCATTTTGATATTAACTGGCTGTTTTGCTAGTGAGTTGATGCAATTTCTTCATTGTGATGATGGTCTTTATCATTTGGTACATTTTTGTAGTGGCTGCTAATGGTTTTCCTTTCTATGTTTAGTGCTTCCTTCCGGAGCTCTTATAAGGCATGCCTGGTGGTGATCAAATCTCTCCGCAATTGCTTGTCTGTAAAGGATTTTATTTCTCCTTCACTTATGAAGCTTTGTTTGACTGGATATGAAATTCTAAGTTGAAAATTCTTTTCTTTAAGGATGTTGAATATTGGCCCCCACTCTTCTGGCTTGTAGGGTTTCTGCTGAGAGATCCACTGAGTCTGATGGGCTTTTCTTTGTGGGTAACCTGACCTTTCGCTCTGGCTGCCCTTAGCGTTTTTTCCTTCATTTCAACCCTTGGTGAATCTGATGATTATGTGCCTTGGGGCTGCTCTTCTTGAGGAATATCTTTGTGGTGTTCTCCTCATTTCCTGGGTTTGAATGTTGGCCTCCCTTGCTAGGTTGGGGAAGTTCTCCTGGGTAATATCCTGAAGAGTGTTTTCCAGCTTGGATTCATTCTCCCTGTTACATTCAGGTACACTGATGAAACATAGATTAGGTCTTTTCACATAATCCCATATTTCTTGGATGCTCTGTTCATTTCTTTTAACTCTTTTTTTCTCTAA